CAGTGTCACTGGCCCTCATATGTGGGATCCGAACCGGGGCCCTCTGGCATCCCAAGCGAGTTCTTAACCATCGCGCCACTCGGCCGGCCCTGATTCTCCATTTTTAAAGGGGAGACAATAAAGACAAAAAAGTAATTCCTCACAGGGTGTAATTGTAGGGGGTGGAGCTGGGAAGCACATTGTATGGAACAGGGTTTCTGCTCCTGCCTCACAGACTCGCTTTACACAGACCGATCTTCGATATGACATCTGTCCATTTCATTTAAAGGGACATCGATAAAGTTGATGAATTAATGCAGGACATTGCTGACCAGCAAGAACTTGCAGAGGAGATTTCAACAGCTATTTCAAAACCTGTAGGGTTTGGAGAAGAGTTTGACGAGGTGAGTGGTTTCATGCAAATCATATAAGTTTCACAAATGATACTTGCTGCCCTTTGATGTGCTATTGAAGGCTCTCCTGCAGGGAGTATATGGTTTGGAAATTACCAGTTCTTAACCCTTCAGAGACTTGGACATACAAGGCATGGTATTAACCCTCCCTAATTCATGAATTTGAGGGATGCTTTCACTGTTTGGGCTAGAAACTTAGATGGAGCAAAGAAACCTTAGTTGGGACCCCTCAGCAGGCTTTAGGTCAATAATTGGTTTCGACAAATCATTACCCTGTCCCTTTCCGTGGTGGGCCCTGGGCTCAGAGCTGGGGCAGCTGAAGTGCCCTGGAGAAGTTTACAGGATTTGTCCTCAGACAACTCTGATGTGAGGGAAAAGTGAGGCCAAGGAAGGAGCATTTACATCTGAGCCCTGAGGGATCTGTCTGGAATTTGGCCACCTAACGGTTTGTGCTATAGCAAGTAGGACTCTGCATCTCTTAGGTTTTTAAAATACAGTAACAGGCCCCATTGAAGGTACTTCCTTCTTTCTTAGAATTGAGTCCACTGAAGGTCAGGCCCTCTCCACTGAACCTGATGTTTTGTGCTCTCTGATTCCCACAGCGTAGCTGATAAAACAGCCTGCGGCTCTCACCCTTGGCTGCCAGCACCAGGGTTTTCATGTTTTCAGACTAGAGTTTGATGGACTAGTCAAGTTAAATTCACTTCAGCAAACATTCCTGCACATTCACTTAATGCACCCAGTACTGAAATAAAAAAAAATAGGAATGAAAATATACAATCCCTTTTCTCAAGATGCGCACAGCCTAGTGCAGGATGCAGGCATCATCAGCTGCTTGGTTGTGGGTTCTGTTCACCAGTAGAGTTATGTTCAGGGTGTTTGAGTCACAGAGTGTGGACCTGGAGTTCACTTCCCCTTGACCTCAGAACGGGTGCATGTCCCTAGCCATCTGGCAAGAGGTACTGCTGAGAGGGCTGGGATTTCTGGGGGTGTCTCTCATTCTTATGCTTCTTTTTTACCAGGATGAACTCATGGCAGAATTAGAAGAACTAGAACAGGAGGAACTAGATAAGAATTTGCTGGAAATTGGTGAACCTGAATCAGTCCCTCTACCAAATGTTCCCTCTATAGCCCTACCATCAAAACCCAGTGAGTACTTCTTATCCAGAATCATGACACACCCATGACACCACGTGGTGGGTAATCTCGTGGTCGGTTGGCCTCAGTTTGCGTCCCAAGTTGCCCAGGGTTAAGAACCAGGTGGGATCTGTTGTGACGGCTCCAGAGACAATGTTACCTGACCATTCCTAGTTTCTCTTTAGAATAGGGTTTCTTAACCTTGGCACTACTGACAAAGCCATGTCATTCTTAGGGCTGGGCCTGGGAGGGGGGCCTATCCTGTACACTGTAGATGTTTAGCAGCACCCCTGGCCTCTGCCCACTAGAGATGCCAGTAGCACCCTCTCTCTCAAGTTGTAACAACCGAAAATGTCTCCAGACATTGCTAGAGGTCCCTTTGGGGATGAGGTGGGGGAATCACCCCCCAGTTGAGAACCAGTACTCTAGAATGATTTTCTCTGTGTCCCCAAACAAGAGCAAGTTCTAGGCACTGGGAGAAGGTGTGATAGTTTAATTCCTGGGTAGCTCTTGTTCCCTGTCTAGAATCATGTGCTGTGCACACCTGTAAGAGCCTGGGGCCTCAGAGGCAGCCACTGTGGGATGGTAACGGCTTGGCTTTTTTAGAGACCTGGTTCAATAAAATCATTATTTCCTCCTGTCTGCTCCTTCCTCCCCTTCCCTCCCCCATTATTTCACCCTTGGGTAGAAGTATTCCACACAGAACTAGAAAAGGTGAAGCAGTTTGATTTGGCATGGAGAGGGCAGAGAGGACGCCCAGGGAGCAGAGTGTGCATAAGCTGTAGTCACCTCACTTCCACATTTGAAGGGGGAAGCAGCTCCTTGAGTTGAGTCAGCTGCCCAGGGCGGGGTATGGGCAAAGGGGGTCCAAGTGCTGTCCAGCAAGCCACCTGCGGGTATGGAGAGGTGGTTCCTGTCACTTTAGCAGGGCGGTGGGGCTGGTGAGGATTAGATGTCTTCTGGAGTTCTCCCCACTCTCCCCCACTCTGGATGTCATGGGACTGAGGCCTCCCCTGAATCCTGACTCTCTGTGTAGAATCCTTTTTTGTCTGGCCATGATGTGGGTGGAGTGGAGGTGCTGGGGAAGTGTGCCTGGTTATCTGGAGTTTTACGATGCAGCTTTTAAGCACAGAGAGAAGCAGTCTGCTGATAGCCTGGAGATGAGGTGGCTGCAAGGGCAGGGCTGTTTTGCAGACACCATGTAGCACAGCCCTGGCACCCAGCCAGTGTGGAGAGGACTGCAACCAGCTCTCCTAAATTGCCTTTTCTTTCGTCACATAGCCAAGAAGAAGGAAGAGGAAGACGACGACATGAAGGAATTGGAGAACTGGGCCGGAACCATTTAATTGGTTTAGCGCGAGCTGGGCCCAGACAGACTTTGGTGGCCTGCACAGCGGGCAGGCGTGTGCGTGTGCGTGTGCGGGTCAGGCAGGACGTGGTGCAGGCAGGTTCCATCGCTCTCGAATCTCCCTCCAAAGCAGTAGGGCCGCGTCACTGCTCATTCTGCATAGCATGGTCTGCACCCAGCAAGGTGGGTGGGGGGNCTACCAAGGAACCAAACAATCAATTCGAATGTGTACTGTCGGCAGTTTGACAGTTTGAACGAATCCATCATCCAGAAATGTCCAGAGCTTGTTAATTGTAAAGGAGTTGTGTTCCATTGCAACAACGCCAGACCACACACAAGTTTGATCACCTGTCAAAAATTATTGGAGCTTGGATGGGAAGTGTTACCACACCCACCATATTCGCCTGACCTTGCGCCATCAGACTTCCACTTGTTTCACTCTCTTCAAAACTCCTTGCATGGGGCCGGCCGAGTGGCTCATCTGGTTAAGAGCTTGCTTGGGATGCCAGCTCTGAGCAGCAGGGCTGCAGTTCAGATCCCACACTGAGGGCCAGTGACGCTGTGTTCTCTATAGCTAAGATGGTGAACAACAGCTTGACCTGGAGCTGGGCTGCTGTGAGTTGCCAGCGATGGTGTGGGCTACATGAGTGGCTGGCAGCCAGTGTGAGCGGCAGGGAGCCGCTGTGAGCGGCTGACCAATGACCGGCGACCGATTGCCTCACCCGGGAAGAGCACAATGATCATGCTAACATGGGCCAGTGAAGCGACGTCCTCCACAACTAGACTGAAGAACAAAAACAGCAATTTGTCTACCTGTCTGTTCCCCTTCCCTGATTCCCCAACGCTGTTTCCCTCCCCCCAATTCTTCAATAAAATCTTGAAAAAAAAACAAAAAAAAAACGTCTTGCATGGTATAACGTTCAATTCAGATGAGGCTGTAAATCAGCACCTTGCTCAGTTTTTCACCGATAAAGACAGGTCCTTCTATGAACGAGGAATTATGAAGCTCACTGAAAGATGGAAAAAGGTTAGCGAACAAAACGGGCAATATATCTTGATCTTTGTTCTTTATATAAATAAATGACCTTAGAAAAACATAGACTAAATATACATCATGACTTTTCCGACAACCCAATAGCTCACCTAAGACTATGAACTGGGATTGGAGCTTAAGGCACTTTGACCTCAAAGCACATCTTTTTTTCTGGGTGGTTCTTCATGCTTTGATCTGGGTGTATGTGCGTGCGTGTGTGTGATTACCAGAGAATGTGAACTTTTGCTTGTACGCTTGGTTACATTTTGAAGTACGTGAATTTTGTAGTTTTCTGAGGAAAACTGCTCTTGTGTAGAAGAGATTAGTAATCCTCTGTTTCAATGGGAGCAACAACTGAGGTGCATCCATTACAAGTAGGGAGAAGACTCGAGTAAACTCTAGGACATGACTCTGTGTCTGGACTCTCTGAAACCCTGTTTTCTCCCCGTGCAGCGGCCCTCCAGGCACTGAAGCGCAAGAAGAGGTATGAAAAGCAGCTGGCGCAGATCGATGGCACGCTGTCGACCATTGAGTTCCAGCGGGAGGCCCTGGAGAACGCCAACACCAACACGGAGGTGCTCAAGAACATGGGCTACGCCGCCAAGGCCATGAAAGCTGCCCATGACAACATGTACGTGGCCACTCACTGGTGGAGGGGGCCTTGGGCAGACCCCCTTGACTTATCCATTCAAGCACCTGAGTTTGTTTTAATTTGCATTCTTTTTGGAACTTCGTCTAAAATGGATTATGTATCTTGCTGCCTTCGGAAGCAGATCTCATGGAATGAAACGGGGTTATTGTGATGAGCATAGAGTTTCAAGCTGGAAAGGTCCTTAGGACCTCCCTCTCACCCGGGCCTCTGATTATCAAGCTGGGGAAGCCACTTAGAGGGGAGGTAACTAACATGCCCTGGGTTATTTATTTATGAGCTTGGATAGAACTGGGTTTGGAGCCAGTGTCTCTGATTATTTCCTTTTGCCATCAGGGCCCCTGAAACATGGTACATCCAAGGGCTTTGGATCTCTCTCTTTTTTTTTCCTTTTTTCTTTTTCTTTTTTCTTTTTTATTCATACTGATCTTTTGTGTTTTTTAATTTTTTTATTGTACCATTTTTTTTGTTTTTAGTTTCTGGTATACAAAACAAGGTAATGACTAAACATTTACACACCTCGCAAAGTGATAACCCAACAAGTCTACTACCCATCTGAAGGATCTCTCTATTCTTACGTATGCTTTTGATGGAAGTTTCTGCTTCACCCCTTGCTCTCAGGCTTTGGCTGTGATATTGACAGTGTTGTTGACTTCAGCAGCCCTGTACAGAGTTGCCCTTGAGCTTAAAGAAGACCTATTGGCCCAGGAGTTAAAAGTCCCATGGTCTCATGAGAGAATGTGACAGTGGCACCAAACCTTGCTAAACCTTATTTCCTTAGGGTGTTGGATTAGGTGATGTCTAAGAACACTTTCATCCTTTTGATTCTGTGATTCTCCATTTTTATTTATTTATTTATTTATTTATTTATTTTTTTTTTTTTAAGATTTTTATTGGGGAATTAGGGGGATAGGAACAGTGCTGGGGAGTTGGGGGAAGGGGAACAGACAAGTTGCTGTCGTTTCGTTCTTCAATCTAGTTGTGGAGGATGTCG